GAGAGAGAGAGAGAGAGAGAGAGAGAGAGAGAGAGAGAGAGAGAGAGAGAGAGAGAGAGGTCTTGTGATTGGATTGTGACTGGAAGACGCAGGGGTGGCAGGAGAAGTGGTAATGCTGACAGAGGTCAGGGATGCATTTAACTGGCGTTCAATTTATGTTAAGTGGTAGTTCTCTGCAACGTGATTTCACTGCTCCATTTCTGGGATGTAGTTAACTTGATCAAGGTTCTTGTGAACTTTGCACTGGAGAAGTCATTCCGTTAGAGTCAGAAGGCAAAACCTCAGTTTGTGTGTATGGTGCCGTGGTGACTATGGATTGTGTTCTCTCTAGAATGACGCTGAAGAGGCTGGCGAACAGGAGAACAATTGCACCTCTGCAGCAGAGGATGATGTGCTGGACACAACGAAGACTGGGTGCGCCTTGATTCAGGTAGGTGCGTTCACCGCGGAAACCTGACCATTCCATCATCCACATCCCTGCTGCTCTGTCCCGTGCGACCCCCCCCCTTCTATCCCCTGCTACGCCTTGTGCTATCTTCTATACATCATGCCGACAGAGCGTATTTTTGATCTTGACAACCTTCTTATGCCCGATCATCATCATTAACGTATGTAAGCCATGGTCCTGGAGGGCCGTGGAGGCTGGATGCAGTCACAATGACCAGTTGTTTTGTTCAAGGTGGGCAGGAGTACAGAGGTATTAAGAGCTGTGGAGTTGCCTGCTTTTGTATCAATCTGTAAATCTCGGACTAAGGGCACTCACACTTACTCGTTTCTGAACGGAATGTGGGCCAGATCCATACAAGGCGGTTCATGAATGCAGTCAGATGCATTTTTGGTAGTGCTAGTCTGAGTACCCCCTTTAGTTTAGAGCGAAACGTTTTTGGAGAGTGCTTCACAGGTTGGTGAGAGTGAGCGCATAGTATGATGGTGTGGTGGTTTGAACATTGTGAGAATGCGTGTGCAAGTTCGTCTCCCCGAGCTGTCGAAGGTCATCTCACGTGATGCAGGTTGGTGAGAGTGAGCACAGCATAGTATGATGGTGTGGTGGTTTGAACATTGTGAGAATGAGTGTGTCGTCTCCCCGAGCTGTCGAAGGTCATCTCACGCTTATGCAGGTTGGTGAGAGTGAGCACATCATAGTATGATGGTGTGGTTGTTGTAAAGATAGTGAGAACGAGTGTGCAAGGTTTTCTTCCCAAGCTGTCGAAGGTAAATCTCATGTTAAGCGTGGAGCTCCCCGCATTAGAACGAGAGCTTCAGGAATAATGGGAAGGAGCGTAGAGTGAGTACAAATTGTATTCCTTTGACTTGGTGGTGGAATAAGAAGCGGACTGCTGCTCTGCAGAATGGATATGTAGCCGGAACAGGGAGGTTCTGTCTTCTATTATTAGAAAAAAAAGACCAAAGAAGAAGAAGAGAAGAAAAGAACGAGAGCTTGGGTGCTGTCAGTAAACTTCCCGGCCAGCATGTGAGCCCTGGCAAACAAGCTTTGGTTCGGGGGGAAGCAGGCCTAAGCAGACGCCCCCTTGTGGAATTGGCTAGAGTCACAAGGGTGGCTAGAACTTAGTCCGGTCTGTCCAATCTCCTTCTTCTTGCTGTTTTCTTGTGTAAACATGCTTGCCGGTGACGAGCAACCGGACTGAAGCGCCCAGAATAGAAAGAATATCCTTATTATGTTAATGTCAATTGAGTTAATGTTACTTGCTGTCAATTTGAACTTTATGGGGCATAAGTGTTTTYTTTTTTTTTTTGGTGGGTTGGGGGGGGGGGGATGGGACAAGAGGAAGAAAAAAGGAAAAAAAAGGCAAAAAAAAGAAGAAGAATGAGAGCTTCAGGCAAGAGGGTGGGTAGATTCAAGTGAAACTGGTTGGCCAGATAGTCCCTGTGTGTGGAAATGGAGCAGCAGATGAGATGGGACACGGTAAATGAGAAGAGGGGTGGAGGAAAGGCGGAAGCATCGCGCTTCGAGACAAGAAAATTAAAGGTAAACGTATCATGGGAGAACGAGGAAGAGAGGGGGAAGAGAGCAAAGGAGCACCGTCGGATGTGAGGGGACTGTGGTCCAGGATGTCTTGATAAGAGTAGTAGTGGGAGGACAAGGAAGAGGGGGGAAGAGAGCAGAGGAGGGCCATTGGATATGTGTCTTTTTGAATGGGCCGGAGGGCTAGTAGTACCTACCACACTTTGCACCTACCAGCAGAGAGGGGAAGGAGCCTAAATCGACGGACTTCGACCGCGGAACTGAGCACGTCGTATACTTGAGAAGAGTTGCCAGTTTTTTTTCGTCGTTTGGAGAGCGGAAGCCAAGAAGTTAGGTGCATAAAAAAGAAAAAAAATGGACCAAAGAAAATTGCAAAACCGGACTGTGGTCCAGAATGAGGCGAGGTGAGAAGCAGGCGGTAGCACAGAAGAGCGGCAGTTCGAAATGATTGGTGAAGAAGAACAACAGGTACAGGTAAGTAGTGAACCTAGCCGATTCCGCTTAACAGTACATACATGTGACTCTGTTAATGCACAGGTGATGAAATCAGATGGATGCGGCAAGGTTAGGGGCCTACCCCTTTTTTTGGGAAGAAAAAAAAAACGCACAGAAAAATCCGTGACGGTCAACACCCCTCAATAAGCTCAAAAGAGTGGGGATTTCAAGCTTGGTAGTCACTTATGACTGGGTTCCCTCTTTCCTAGTATATGCCTACACATCCAACCAAGGTTGCTCACTTGTCAATGGAAAATGGCGGCCATGTGAAGGGATAATTGCTGATGGGGGGAAAGCAACCCGTCTGATTCTCCTGTGGGACATCATCTTGTCAACTAGGCTCAATACACCCGCCTATAAATACTCGTGCCAGCGTGAAAGGCCAGATGGTCTGTTGAAAGAGGTGAGCATCCCTTTGGCTTTGCCTTCCTTGAAGCGAAAGCCGATATAGCAGATGTGAGCACAACTACGACCCATCGAGCCTGTGGCATGAAACCAGCGAGGAGTACAAAAATCAGCAGGACAGCCAGAAAAAAAAGCAGACATCCTCAAGACATTCGAGGAATTTTTTTTTTTAATGTATATGACTCTCCTGTGGGACATCTCCTTTTCAACTAGGCTCAATATATCGTCAAACAGAGCTGCCAGGTAAACCGTCAGCAGAGAGGGAGGGAGAAGAGGACAACAAACGAGGGGCTGTGACAAACTGTTTCGTCGGAGTTTCACGGACTCGTCGGGATTATACATATAATATCCATATTGATAATTATAATAATCTAATTATGTTATAAATACAATATCAATTGCTACGGTTTTACCGGGCAGTTCTGTTTGTGACGATATATATATTTTATAGTCTGGCAAAGAATGGATGTGACCCTCCGGCAAAAGTTTTTCAGTCCATTTTTCTGCACAACATGGTTTGTTTCTTGGATTTCTTTTCCCACTTTTTTTTTTTAACAGGGACCTTCCTGGGCCCTTGCCTGGCCGGACCGCCCCGGCAACCATGGTGACCCGGGCGGCCCTGTTGCTAACACAGGTGTTTGTGTTTGTTACATGCGCATTGCCATTATCAATTGCAGGCGTTCAGTTGATGGAATGAGCATGGAATGAGCAATGACTCTGAGTTTCCTGTTGTAATCTGTATGCATGGAATGGAGTGGGTATGACCTAGTTTGACAAGGGGTTGGCTGCTGTCGATGACCCGCAGGCTGCAGAATGTGCGAGCAGAGAGGTTGTTGCCGTAGAGCAGGCGGGCAATTGGAAAGATATGGACCCCCAATTCTGCATTGGAATTACACTGTTTGGATCTCAGTGCAGTCATAGACCAAGGCCAGGCACCTCCTTTTGTGTTAAGCACAATCCCGAGTCCTCGAAGCGATCCTCGGGGGCGGAGAGGGCGCTGGTATGTTTGCCTCTTGACGATGGTCCAGAGCTGGGTTCACCGAGTGAAAGGGAAGTGAGAGAGCAATTGGATGCGGAGGGCGCTAAAGGAGGCACGGAGGGAGTGCAAGAGCAAGCGAGGGAGGAGGAGGAAAGAGAAGTGGTCAGGGTGGAAGTCGCAGAGGAGGATGCGGTGGCAGGGCGAACTAACAACGGGATTGGAGGAGCTGCTGACAAGGATGAAGAAGGAAATCAGGGCAAGGGTAATGGCATCTGCGTAGACACACCTGGTACTCTTCGTAGGCAACGGAAGCGTAAGGCGACTGACGACATCGATGGGTGTGAAGACGACAGTGGTGGCACTGAGGTCTTTGTTAGTCGCCAGAATGATGGAGATGGGGGGTGCAGTAAGGGAACGGAGGAGAAAAAACGGCCAGAGAACAAACCGACAGTCTGTGTGGGAATAACGAAGGAAAACCGCCGGTGCACTCATCATGCTATGCGCAAGAAACTCTATTGCAGAAAGCACTTGAAGAAAGTCAAGAGGACGAGGGCCAATTCCATGGTGGTCATACAACAACCTGCGACAGCAGAAGAAACAGCTGCAACATTAATGGAGATGACCAGAGGGAGGGAGTCAGCAGCCGGCAACCAAATTGCCGATAAGGGCGTGGTTGTGATAAATGGAAATCCCTCTGAACCTGAGGAAGATGTGCCTTCTAAGAAGCGGAAAGCAAGCGAGGTGGGAAATGTAGATGCCACACTTGAGGCAGGGCAACGAGAGATCAAGGCGAAGGCTTTGGAGATTTTTGCTGGATTCATCAAGGCTGTGAAAGAGGGACCGAAGGACGGACCTGCTTTTTTCCCTGGTCCATTTGGGGAGGGGCATAGGATGGTGTTTGAATCCAACTTGTTGGACAAGACGTTTACAATGGCAGAGAAGAGGCTTGAGGTTTGTGAGGAGCTCTTGGTGTTGGTCGCTGAGGAACAAACGAAGATGCTGAAAGGATTTGAGAGAAGTTATGGTAAGGACTGGGTGCAATTGCTTCTGAGACGAACTGGCGAGGCCGGCTATGAGTGGCGGGGGGGCGACTCTCTTGCCGAAGTCAATGGAGATACAGTGTCAGATAAGGAGGAAGGGCAACAGGAAAGAGGGACAGGCCTTGGAGAGGTTCTCTCATGCGAGAAATTGGGCCGTTCCTCCAAAGACGGGGCAAAGATGGGTGATGAAGCTCAGGTACTGGAGAATGGTGCGCAGCGGGAGGATGCTAGCCTGCAAAAGCTTGTGGCGGATGGTGGCCAAGAGGCTCGACGCCAAGAGCTTGCTGCTTTGGGTGGTGCTGTGGATGAGACCGGTGCTGGTGGCCAGGTACGCGGTGAAGTTGCTCGAGCAACCTCTACAACGCAGCAAAAGAAGCGTAAGAAAAAGAAGGGGTCATCCGGCCGGGGAGGATCTGGAGGAGAGAATCAGAGCAGGAAGAAGCTTCGCTGCCGAAGCTGTGGCGCAGAGTTTGAAATATTGTATGAGATGTTACTGCATTGGCGGGCGATGCACATGGAGGCTAAAGTTGGGAGTGGAGGGAAAAAGTCAAAGAAGCAGAAAGAGAAGCAGGGAAGGGGGGGGGCTGGATCTGGAGGTGCTGTGAACTCAACTCCTGCCAAACCTTCTGTGATGGTGGACAACACAATAAGGACGGAGGCGGAGGTAGACAAGGGTGCGGTAGGCAGTTCAGTAATGACTGCTAATGTTGATGCACGTGAACCCTCTGGGGGACCATGTGCTGAAATTGAAGATGAGGGAAGGAACAACGACACAGGGGCGTCACCGTCGTCTGGTAATAAGGGGAAAGCTGAGAGTAAGGCTTCTGGAAGCAGGAAGGTTCACACGTCTCCAGAAGGTGTGAAGAACAACGACACTGACCGTGAGTGGAGGTATACGTGTAGAGAGTGCGGGATGAAATTTGATTTGCTTCCGGATCTTGGGCGGCATTTCAAGGCAAAGCATATCGATCGTCAAGTCCCACCGTCCGAGCGCAAGAAGCGGGACCGGAAAAGGAAAAGATGTCGTCCTTCAACGTTGGAAGGAAAACATGGATCGAAACCGAACAACGGAACGGCTCCCGAAGCTTCAGTGCCCGCTCTGGCTTCTGGAAATGTGCGCGCAGAGGGTGCAAGGAAGAGGAAACCGACATGGAAAGTGCTAGAGTCAGACCATCCTCCAGATGGTGTTTTGGAGGCTGTGTTAGGTACCACGGAGAGTGAGCGTCGGCCAGAGGAGGGCGGAAATGGGACGCAGGATGGCGATGCGGTTGTACAGGAAGCAATTGCTGAGCAGCTTGTGAAGCTGGCTGGTTGGCCTGAAGATTCAGGGAGAGGAGAAGAGGCCGCGACTGTGGGGTCGCTGTTGTGCGCCCCAAAGGCTGACATTAAGCAAGCTGAAGGCTGTGAGGCACTGAATCGATGCGGGACAGAGGGTGCAGATATGGCGAATAAGGAGTCTGCTGAGTGTGCGCTGATTGACACACTGGAAGATGGAGATGACAAGCAACTGGAAGCTTACCCAGCGAAGAAAAGGTTGAAGGATATGGCGCGGGGCAAGCTTATGAATGGAGCGCTTGAGAAGGAAGTAGGCAGCGAACCTGGAGGACAAGACACGTTGGAACCAAATGGTAGGGTGGAAGGTGCATGCGGCCACAGCGATGATTTGATGGTGGTGACTGAGGCGATTGATTCCGTTGGGAAGATGGAATCTGTGTGTGGATTGACAGGAGCTGCGGTCAAAGCGTCCATGAGAAAGCTAGCGAGATGTAGAGGGGATGGCAATGGGACCGTGTCTGGTGACCTGCACGATGGAAAAGCTGAACGAGAGAACGGTGTGCTGGAAGTGACGTGCACCGAACCTGCGGGCTTGCAGAGAGTGTCCCTGGGTGAGCTTGCTGAAATCGCCAAAGACTCTTGCTGCAAATGGTCCATGTTTGAGGTCTTGATGGAGAGACAGGGCAAGGTGCCCGACAAGATAGCTGTGAAGGCCAACAGGGCATGCTGCGAGAAGGGGTGGACCATCTCATGGTATAAGAGAGGGTATCGTTGCCCGAATGGATGCAAGGCGGCTTATTTGAAGAAACACCGTCCCAAGAATGGGTTGATGCCGTCAGGCGAGAAGGCTGTTAACCGAGAGCCGGATGAGGACGAAGATGATGTGGCAATGAATGGTGACGACAACGGGGACGGCGGTTGTCGCCTTCAGAACGGAGCGAGAAACGGGGCATGTACTACGAAGGAGGTGGTGATTGCAGCCTCAAAGGCAGCTGTGAGAATAGAAGGGGAAGGAAAGGATGGGCCTCCGGAAGGAGGGGACGTGGCACAAGAAACAAAACCTCAAGCTGCAAGGAAAGAGATAGTGCGGAGGCGGGTTTTGTGCCCTGACATGAGCTTTGGCCAAGAGACTTTGCCGATACCCTGCATTGTTGATGAAACGGATGATGACGAGGACGCTGATCTCTCTTGCATTCTGCGTGAAAACAATTGCCATGCAAACGGAAACGGTGCTGGTGCTCAAAACGGTCCCCAAGCTCCGACGTCGGCCGATCTTGATACAAGGCCCTGGGAAAGTTTCACGTATGCAACGAAAAGGAAGCTTGACCCGACGCTCGGTGTTGACACTGCGGTGAGTTAGTAGTCGCTTCCTATCGTCCATCGTGCTTGCATGCATGCATGCTGTGTTCGCAGGTCGGCTGATTGAAATGGACTTGCCACATGCATGCATGCGCATGCATGAAGCACAGTGTGCTGGAATAAAGACATAGCCAAACCAATATTGTAGGCTCCACCTGCTGTTCATTTTGGATTGTCTTCATGCACATGCATGTGCATGAGAGCTATTATGCGTACACTGCTTTCGCTGTGGCACCTTGTGTTGGGGACAGACTGCTCTGGGCACAGGTTCATTTGGTACGTTGTCTCGAGGAACATAGTAGCTACGGCCGAGGGATGACCGTCCAGCAGATTCCCTGGGTTGTTTGGCTTGACCGTCCAGCAGATTCCCTGTGTTGTTTGGCTTGAGATCCAGACGTCTGGACCGTACGGACAGCTTGAGGGCGTAGATATCAGGGTGCAGAGGTGGAAGTTGTGTGAAATTATTCAGGAAAAAATTTGAAAGAAGTCTCCGAAAAAGGGTATCCTATCCTCTCCTGAATTGTGATCCCAAGTTACAAACAGCTTTTGCCTGAAAGGTGCGCCTCAAGAGTTCTTACCGGCGGCCTCTAGCTCCAAAATTTGGAAAGCAAAGTTCCAAATACCTTTTACACAAAATTGAATAAGGTGCACTTTGGCTCTGCTGCACCTCCTCACACCTTCAGAGCCGTCCAGAATCCCATCCAACGGGTTTTGAAAACATCCCGGGTAAAACATCCCGGGTTTTCTCCATAAGCCTTTTTTTCTGACTTGACTGGATCTCTCGCTGACTGGTAGGTGCAGGGTTAACTCGGTCAGACGTCAGTTCAGACTATCATTGACTGCTTTGAGTGGACCATAGCAGGTTTCCGTTGTGCTGTTGCTGTTAAGTTTTTTTTGTTGAATGGCATGTGCGGCTGTGAAAGGGAGGTGGTTGCAAAGGCTGATCTCGGTTTCCGGTTCCCTGCAGAACTCTCAGGTTGCATGCGCTTGCTCGGGAGCACGGTGCTTGGCTGATTCGTGTGAGCATGTGCGGCTTTTCAATCAAGACAACATAGAGGCTTGTGACATTGATGGAGAGTTGATGCTGGACAAATTCCCTTACGATGAGCGAGGATGCATTGTTCTTCAGGTACAGCCTTTCTTGTGCACTCCGGGGTAGCATGCGTAGTGCGTGAGGGAGGGAGGGGTATTTGGGCCATATGCACAGCAAACTATTCAGTAGAAAGTAGCATATACCTGGGGGACACTGGCTTTGCCGATTGCGCTGAACGAACTCGCATCTCATGTATCATCATTGCATTTTGCGCAGTAACTGCATGTGCGCAATTCCGTAAAACAGGCAGTTACGGTTTGTAAGGGGAGCGCATATGCTTTAGGAGTTTCCTCTGGAGTCCTGATATATGCGTGTGCAGTTGCTCAGGTGTTGAAAAAAAAAAGCCTATCGTGAACGTCCCATCGCCTTTGATCCGCTCCTAGCCCCCTACATTTGAGCATTTCCCTGTTTGCATTTTGTACAAACTTTGCAAACAATACGCCATCGGCACACCCGGGCCTGGTGGCGCTGCACTGCACGCCAAGCTTTTTGCCGAACGGCCAGCGGTGCACTTCCTTTGCTTTGTGGCCGGCGATTGTGGTCTTGTAGCCCTGAGCCTTAGAAACTTTAGGGGTAGGTGGGGTAGGTGATTACAAAATCTTCTGAGGCTCAGGGAGTGGCGAGAAGGGGTGCACTTTCTTCTGAAACTTTTTGGCCAGGGGTGTGTATCTTCTTTTGTGGTTGGACCACCACTCTCTGTTATCTTCTTCCGCCTCGCGTCTTCACACCTGTGCAATTGTTATTCCTTCGCCCCCCTCAGCGTTTCTCATATGTTACCCCATCTCTTGAGCCCACTTTTCCTGTTATCCAGTCGTTTTTTTCTTTTGTTTTTTTTTGGGGGGCTGGAGGGGGACCATTTCCCGATTTATGCGTGTCATCCTTGCGCAGGGGCCATGCTAATCTTCTTTTCTGTACCGTTCCAACTTTAAGGGATGTCCCGAAGGACGTCCAATCGTTTTTCTCTTCCTTTCTACAACCGAATTTTAAGCACCATTGATGCGGAGCCCATCGTACATAAATTTAATAAATTGTTTATTTTTTGTCTTCTTTTCCAAGGGAGATGGCCACGACCTTTTTGAAACTTAAACTTGAATCTATTGGGATTTGAGCATGCGATCTGTTTGTTAACAGTTATATATTTGTGTACCAGTCCAGCACAAGGTCGGTGGGGATATGTAGTGTCAAGACGCACCGTCGATCTTCAAAGTTAGTTACCCATGGTAACTTTGGAGGATGGCATTGGGGGCAAAAGGTATTCTGTGAATTTTCTTTCTTAGAACCTACATTTGTGTGTCCTTCGGGACATCTGTTAAAATTGGAACGATACAGAGAATGAAGATTAGCATGGCCCCTTCACTTTCAAGGATGACACACATAAATCGATAAATGGTCCAAATTAAAAAAAAAAAAAAAAAAAAAAAAAAGAAGCTACATTTGTGTACCATTCATCCACAAGGCAGGTGCATCTGTTACTGGCTGTTAATCTTCCGCATGCTCAATTTCGAACAGAAAAGTTGTCGCACTTTTTTTTCTTTTTCTTTGTATCCTGTTGTCAAGTTTGTCTTTTAGTGCTAATCTACCGTTATCTGTAATATCTGACCCATTTTGTAGGCTATCCCAAAGTGAGCTTTGGTGTTAAAGTTAGGTGCTTGTAGGCTATCTAGTATCTACCCCATTTTTTTAAATATATATATATATATTTTTTTTTTCCATGCTAATCTTCTCTGTATCGTTCCAATTTTAACGGATGTCCCGAAGGACTCTACCCCATTTTGTAGGTTATCCCTAAGTGAGCTTGGTGTTGAAGTTACCTGCTTGTAGGCTATCTACCCCATTTTGTACCCCATTTTGTAGGCTATCCCTAAGTAGGATGGTAAAGCTTCACTTCACAAGGGCACTGCTTCTGGGTTGCAGTTGGACCAAGCGGGACGGGAATTAATTCGTACGACTTGGTCATAGCAGAAGAACGCAACTTCGGAAATCGTTCGTGTCAAGAAGAGGGGGCAGGGGGGAGGTGTTGTCCAGCAGGAAGTTTTTGACTTTGAGAGCAGGTGGGAGGGAGGTGGGACGGAGGATGAGACTGACGTTGTGATTGAAGTAATTGTGGCTTTGTGCTTGGCCCCAGGAGAAATACATGGTGTATGAGTGCAGTCCCATGTGTATGTGCTCCGACGAGTGCCAAAATAGAGTACTCCAGAAAGGAGTGAGGGTGAAGCTGGAGGTGTATCGGACAAAGCACAAGGTCAGTGTGTACTCAATGCTTGTCTTCGCCTTCATTTGGTGTCCTATTCTGGCGCCGATCAATCTCTCTTGATTGCGAGCTTTATGTGTTGCCATGTCCGGCTTTCTCTTCTTTTTTTTCAACTTTTTTGTTTTCCTGTTTCTCTTCTTTTGTCGAAAAGGAGGGTTACGTATGCTTCTTTGATTCTTTTTTTTTTGTTTTCCCCTCTCTTCTTTTTTTTAATAAAGGGCGACGACCTTGAGATGTCATTGTTGAACTGGCTGGCCCCAGTTAATTCAGAATGATTTTATTCAGAAATTATTCTGGTCATCTGGTGCTATTTGGATTCGAACTCTGGTTTGCATTTCAGCAGTTCATGAGTGTACCAACTGAGCTGAGCGTAAGGCCCATTGGCTATGCTTCTTTGATTCCACGTCTCCCCAGTTCGTCGGCTGAAATGTGCATCAGACCTTAAACCGCTTATACACAGGCCCTAGCCTTGTGGAGAAATGTTTGTCACCTACTTTGAAAACTTTGCGGCTCGGGCCTACCGGACCACGATGGCTGGTGGCGCCTGCCAAAAAAGGAAAAAAGTGTGCCGCTGTCGGTTCTGCAAAAAAGAAAGCTTGGCGCGGAGCGCAACGCCTCCAGGTCCGGGGGTGCCGGCGGTTTAATGGCCATGCGACCTTTGCGTGTTACGACGCCTGCTCTTAGCGGTCTACCGTTTCTTCTTCTGCTGTGTTATGTGTATCCGGGAACCCTGGGAATCATGGGACCGGGGCAGAAATGTGTGAAACCCATAGTTGCGGCGCACGTGTGCGGTGCGCTGTGCGCTGTGCGCTGGTTTAGCAGGGCGCGCACTGTGCGCTGTGCGCACGCTGCGGCCTGTGCGCCATGTGCACAGGAATAATAATAAAAAAATGCCGTGGGGGAGGAGGTGTGTGTGTGTGTGTGTGTGTGTGTGTGTGAGAGAGAGAGAGAGAGAGAGAGAGAGAGAGAGAGAGAGAGAGAGAGAGAGAGAGA